GCTCGCTCTCTCTCTAGCTTTCTCTCTGTAGGCACACACGTGTGTGTATAAAAATATATATTTTTGGAATCATTTGAGAGTAAGTTGGAAACGTTGTTCTTCTTTACCCCCAAATATTTCAATGTCTAAAAACAAGAACATTACTGAGTATATAACCTGAGTACATTTATCAGCAAGTATGTAAGTATTTAACTCAAGTATATAACCTTAGTACATTTATCAACATGAGGAAACTTAATATTGGTAAAATATTATCTAATCTACAATAAATATTCAAATGTAGGCAGGTGTCCCAGTAATGTCCTTTATACCTTTTCCCCCGGTCCAGGATCCCAGCTCGGGACCACACAGTGAATTTAGTTGTCACGTACATTTGACCTGGAATAGATCCTCAAGTGTACGTTGTTTCTTGACCTTGACTTTTCTTTTTAATAGAAGGGACCATTTATTTTGTAAAGTGCCCTTCAGTTTGGGTCTCTCTGTCTGATGTTCCCTTATGGTGTTTTTCTTCTTCATGGTGTATCATATCAGGAGGTACATTATGTTGTTTTGTTCCAGTATTAATAATGTTAACTTGGATCGCTTGATTAAAGAGTGTCCACCAGGTTTCTCCATCATAGAATCATTATTTTTCTCTTTGTAACTACTAAGAAATTTGTGGGAAAACATTTTGAGACTACGTTCTTCATCAAACTTTCCCCCATTAGTTTTGGTGTCTACTGATGATTTTCTAACTCCGTCATTCCCTCTGTATTTACTAATTGGCATTGTTTTGTATAGAAGAGCTTTTCTTTCTTCCCTCTTTGTTTATTCAGTTGTATCAAAATGAACTTTTCAATTCTTATTTCGTTCAATGAGTTATAATCCATTTTAATCATTATTTTGTTACTCAGACTGTTCCAGATTTGGCCAGTAGAGGACACTCTCAAGCTGGCTCCTGTGGCCTTTTTTTTTTTTTTTTTTAACTTTTAATTTTGAAATAAATATAGACTCACAGGAAGTTGCAAAAATAGTACAAGGAGACTTGTGTCTCGTTCACTCAATGGTGACATCTTATATAGCCGTATATATCCAAACAGTTAATTGACATTGGTACATTATTGTTAGCCAGACTAAATACCTTATTTAGTTTTCACCATTTTTTAACCCTTTTAACCTGCAGTCATTTGTGTGTGTATGTACAATTCTATTTAATTTTATCCAATACATAGATTTGAGTAGCCACCACCAAAATAAAGATACAGAACTGTTCCATCACCATGAAAGAGCCCCTCTGTGTACCTCTTTGTATTCACATCCTCCACCTTATTTTTTCTTACCCCATCCCTGTGTGGTGGAAGCCACCAATCTGTTCTTCTTCTATAGTTTTGTCATTTTGAGACAACATGAAACCTTTTGAGATTTATTTTGTTACTATACATAATGACTTTGACGTCTATCCAGATTGTTACATGTACCCATAGTTTATTTCTTTTTATTGCTGAGTAGTATTCCACTATATAAATTTACCTGAATTTATTCATCCATTCACCCACTGAAGGATTTTTGAGTAATTTTCAGTATTTTGCTATTACCAATAAGCTGCTATGAACATTTGCATATAAGTTTTGTGTGACTGTAAGTTCTCGATTTGTCCTTTTGATATGCCTCTATTATTCTTTGAGCAATTCTTTACTTTTTGTGCAATAAGATATCCCAGCATATTTCTTTCTCATGGTTCTGGAGTCAGCCTTTTCTCCAAAGAGCCCCGGTTACTTTTTGTGGAAAATAATATTTAGGCCCCAAGATATGCATACTACCTATGGTTATTGCTATTAACATGTCATTGCTTTTAGGCTGTTTCAGCAAAGAGCCTAGAAATAGTGTGTGTATGTGTCTGTGTGTGATACACATACATAAAAATACATATATGTTTATACCTGTATCTATTTCAAAAAATCTCCAAATTTATACTGATACCTCTAATTCCACCCCAATTCCTCAAGGTTCATTCTAGATCTATAATTTTCTATATTTTTAATTCTCTTATCCAACATTTAGAAACCTGGCTTTTTTTAGCTTCAGTATATTTATTTATTTGCTCATGTATTTCTGGTGTTCTTTCCTATTCATAGATCAAGATTTCCCAATCTTGGCACTATTGACATTTTGGGGTGGATAATTTGTTTTTGTTATGGGGGGCTGTCCTGTGCATGGTAGGATGTTTAATAAGATCCTTACCCAGGAGCACTAGATGCTGGTAGCAACCTTCAGCTGTGAGAACCAAAAATGCCTCCAGACATTGCCAGATGACCCCTGTAGGACAAAACTGCCTCTGGTCGAGAATCACTGCTGTAGATTCAAGTTTCCACATGTTATATTCTTTGAACCTGAAGAACTTTCTGTAACATTTCTTTTGGTGTAGGTCTGCTAGTGATGAATTTTGTTTCCAGTTGTCTGGAAATGGCTTCCTTTTGCCCTCCCATTCTCACTGTATGTAGAATTCTGGCTTGCTATATTGTTCTTCACTTTTTTTCTGCCCCATTCTCCTCCTTCCGGTTTCACATATATTACACTTCTTGATATTGCCTAATAGGTCACCGAGGTGCACTTTTTTCTTTTTTTTCCTCTTCAGATTGGATAATTTCAGTTTATCTTTAGGTTCACTGACTCATCACCAATCTGCTGTTAAGCCCATCCAGTGAATTTCTCATATGTTATACTTTTTATTTGTACATTTTCAATTTGGTTTCTTTTTATAATTTTATTCTCTGCTGAGATTACCTGTCTATTCATTTATTATAACCATATTTTCCCTTAAATCTTTAAACATCTTTAAAATAGTTGATCACAGTTCTCGGATAATTCTAAATCTGGGTCATCTTGGGTTTGATTTCATTTGACAGTCTTTTTACTTTACTTGTGGTCACATTTTCCTGTTTTTTTTTATAGACCTAGTAATTTTGAATTATATACTGTACATTTGGGGAGATATGGTTTGAAGACTGAATTCTGTTAACCTTCCTCTGATAGAATATTGATTTTTGCTATTATTGGTAATTAACTTAGTTGGACTCTAAACTTTGTCTCCTGTGTTGGGCAGCAGCTGAAACTGCTCACTTCTCTCAGCCTTCTGTCTGCTAGGAACTACAAGGAGAATGCTGTAATTAGATTGGAGTGAAGAAGGGATAGAGCTCTGAAAGATGAAGCCAGAGAGGTGACCTTCATAAGAGCCATTTTGGTAGAGTGTTGGAGGTAAAAGCCTGATTGGCATGGCTGTAAGAGAGAATGGCAGTAGACAAATTTGGTACAAGAACTTTAAACACAGGGTTTGGCAGTTAGTAAGTGTTTTAGGTTTTATGGTCCACATACGATCTTGAGTGCAGCTGTTTTTCTTCTTGTTTGTTTCCTCCTTTCTTTTTCTCTTTCTTCTTTCTTATTCACAATCCTTTAAAGTGTAAAACCCATTCCTAGCTCACAGACCATATAAAAACAGGCACAGGCCAAATCTGGCTCTTGGGCTTTACCCCTCTTTTAAACAGACAAGTCTTTCAAGGAGTTTTGCTGTATAGGAGGTGAAGAGTAAGGGGAAGTGGGAGTTAAAAGATTTTTTTCTTTCTTTTTATTAAGTTGGGGAAATAACAGCATTTTTGCAAGTCAATGAGATTTAGCCAATAGAAAGGTAGGGGAGATTTATAATGTAGAAAAGCTAGAATTGCTTTAACAATGTCCTTGAGTAGATGAGAGGGGATGGGATCTGGGGCCCAAGGGAAGGGATTAGCTAGGACTATGGATAGTTAATTCTTGATAATTTTTAAATGATTCAAAATGTTTTTGAGGGTTTTTTCTTCTTTATCTAGTGCATAGGATGGATGTAGAACCAGTAACTTTGATGGGGCAGTTTTAATTCCCAAATATTCCTTTTTAAGGAATAGTTTGAATTCATCGTGAACATAAATTGAAATACTTTCAGTAAATGGCAAAATTAAAATGTGTTTTTCTCTTAAAGAATGTTTGATTAATAATAGTTTATTGTGTCTGTCTTTAAATTAAGATTACTTTCTCTTTTTCCTTTCAAAGTACTGTGTATGGATGCAAAGATCAATTTCGATTCTAACTCAGCCTATCGCCAGAAGAAAATCTTTGACCTGCAGGACTGGACCCAGGAAGATGAAAGGGACAAAGATGCAGCGAAGGCAAATCTCAACTACATCGGCCTCGATGGGAATATAGGCTGTCTAGGTATTGTGCGTTTTCGTGTTAGCGTTGTGTTTGTCAAGTTTAATTTCTTTTCTCTATGTTTGCTGCTTATACAAATAATTTTCCCCTCTTGATAGTAAATGGTGCTGGTTTGGCTATGGCCACAATGGATATAATCAAACTTCACGGAGGGACTCCAGCCAATTTTCTTGATGTTGGTGGTGGTGCCACAGTCCATCAAGTAACAGAAGCATTTAAGCTTATCACTTCAGATAAAAAGGTAAGGGCAGAGCTTATGTTTTAGAATTTGAATTAGGATTCAGAATTTATATATATATCGTAATATACATATTTTGAGTCTTTTTTTGCTAATATATCTTGAACATTTTTTGCAATTCACTGAGGTATTCTAAAACACTTATTTTAATGTTTGCATAATCTGTCACATACATATGGCACAATTTAGAACTTTGTCTTTATAAATGATTGTCAAAATGCAAGGGATGTGAAGCATCATGATCAAAAGACATGTATATTATTAGTCACCAGATAATTGCTAAGGAATGTGTCTATTGTGTGGCCAAGTATGGATTTTGTAAGGCTTCCAACAAAGTAAGATAAATGCCTCCATGGAACTAGTCTTATTGAATTTAGACCTGCATTCCCCAACCCTTAGTACTGGTCCATGGCCTGTTAGGGACCGGGCCACAGAGCTCTGCTGTGGCCCTCACCCCCACTTCCATGGAAAAATTATCTTCCATGAAACTTAGGAGGGGGGACACAGCAGAAGGTGAGCAGCAGGCTGTAGGGGAGTGAAGGAAGCTTCATCTGTATTTACAGCTGCTCCCCGTCACTCACATCACTGCCTGAGCTCCATGCCTCCATTTCCATGAAACTAGTCCCTGGTACCAACAAGGTTGGGGACTGCTGACTTAGACTGAGAATTCTTCATTGATGGGGACCATATCTTACTCATTGTTGCCTCTCCTAGTGGCTAGTATAAATGTCCAGTACATAGATTAAAAAATATGTATTATTGATGTTGTTGGCAATGTATATTTTTATTTGTGGTGTTAGACTTTAGAATTATTTAAAAAATGAATGTATTTCTCTGCCTTTCCCTTTGAGCCTATAGACTTATTTGCCATATATATTAATTTTACGAAGAATTCAACTAAAACGAGGTATAAAATGTGCCTTATTTCCCTTGTTTATTAATTTTAAAAAGTAAACAAATTTTATTGGAACTATATTTCTATAGCTTCTTTTGACATACACTCTAAAAGGAGAGTGTTAAAGACTGAGTCTAAGTATCTAACTGTTGAGTACTTACTAAGGTGAATTAGTAAGCATGGCTTTTAGGGCCCAGGTGCAAGAATGCAGAAGAGTAAACGAAGAGTTACAGTGTTGGGGACTCACAAACGGGCACTGGAGTTGGAAACAGAACAGGGTGACAATGCGGATAGCATTGAAATAGCTATATACTTACTATGTTTCTTTGTGTTGGACACTGTGCTGGGACTTGGGAATACATGGGCCCTTCCGTTGAGGTATTTATAGTGTGACTAGGGTGATAAGCAGAATGCAGTCCTGTGGAAGAACAGAAGACAGAGCTGATAACTGGGAGAATCAGGGTAGCCTTCACTGAATGGATGATACCTTGAGCTGTCTTGAAAATTAAATGAGTTAGGCAAGGAGAAGAGAACGTGCAAAGGAATGGAATCCAGAGGGCCGTTCTCATGGAATGGTGAGATGAGTATGTGTAAGAACATAGCACTATTGGCATGAATGATAAGAGATAATGTTGGCAAATTGAGACCACGTCATGAAGATCCCTGTATTTATAGTTAAGGAGTTTAGAATTTAACCTCCCTACCCCAGCACATACACAAACACATATATCTATACCCCGCCTTTTGTTTACTTATTTATTTATATTTTTTAAAAGAACATAGCTCTGCTAGTAGAGAGTAAAATGGAGAGTAGGGAGACACTGACAGGAGAAATCAATTTGGTGGTTATGCTGGCTTGTCCAAAAAGATGAAGAGGTCCCTGACAAAGGCAGTATCAGTAAGAACAGAGCAAATAAACCTAATTTAGAGACATTTCTGAGACAGGGTCATTAAATTCATTTTTTCCTCTTTTTTTTGGGCAGGGGCCATGGAGAGGGGTTGGTTAGGTTGACATTAGGATTTTTGGCTGGGGAGAATCACTGGGTGGTGATGCCCTTCATGCGGTCAAAGCAGAATAGAGGAATAAGTATTTCTGAATGAGTGTGCTAAGTTTGGGTTGTGTTGACTATATCTAGTAGAAAGTTGGTTGTAAAGATATATTATACTTCCTGTAATGGTTGGAAGTACATTTGAGAGTCCTCAGCATATTGAGAAAAGAAGTCTTAATTGTTGGTGAGATGGTCCATGTGAGTGAGATGAGGAAACCAAGAATAGAGCCTGGCTCCTCAGTGTTGAAGGGTTGAATAGAGGAGGAAGACCCAAATGAAAGAAAGAGAACAAACTGACAGAGAGAGATAGGAACAGATCAGGAGGGAGTGGTGACATTGAAGGTGAGGGTGCAGAGTTTTGAGAAGCAAGGCAATGGGTAACAATGTGAAATGCTGAAGGAGCGATCTAGCAGAATAAGGACTGCAAGAGATGATTGGGAACCTTGGTAAGAACAGTACAGGAGCTGGGGGCCGAGGCCAGGTTGTAATGGATTCAGTTGTAATTGGGAATTAAGGGAGTGGGGAATGGAGACATCCAGGGCAGATTACTCTTTCTCTTTCAGGATTTTTTTTTTTTTCAATGAAAGCCTGGAAGGACATAGTGCTGTCACTCAAAGGGAGGTAGGGTTGGAGAGACCTTTGTGGTATATGCTTGCTTACTTGTTTATTTGGAAGACCAAATAAGAAGATGAGCTGTTTCTAGATGGAGAAAGAGAAGAGATTTACAGATAAAGAAGAGAGTGAGTACAGCTAAAGTAGTGAGTCAACACCTGAGGAAATACAATACAGTAATTAGGTAGAGATAAAGTACAGTATTTAGGTGGCTGGGTTAGCTTTGGAGAGGAGACTCCTCCTTTCTTGAGGTGTTACTGGAGAAAGGAAGGTCATATGCTGAAAGAGAGCTTGAGTGGGTAGGAGGCTTACGAAGAGAGTTAAAGGTATGAGACAGACTGCTAAGGAGAGGATTGCAGTTGAATCATTATTATACTGCTCTTCAGGTTATGCTAGTGTTTCAGGTTTTATTTTGTTTTTTACTGTTTTGCTTTTTCTTGTATAAACTGTGGCTAGGATCATCCAAAGATTTGCATTGTTTGAAGTGGGATGTTCAGAGGAATGAGAATTAAGCAGGCAGGTGACGGTGTCATTGAATTGCTTAGTCATAGGTTCCAGGTTCTATAGTGAAGAAAGATTGGTTGAGAGATGATAGACTGGGAGATTAGAGAGGAAAAGATTGGGCTTAATGGAGTTAGAAGTGAAAGACATTAAAGGTGAAAGGGGAGGAGGTTGAGCAGATACTGGGATTTACATATTTGATATTCTAGAGACATTCATTCTGGTCGAGTCCAGGATTTGTGCTTGGTAGTAATTAGTCGCAATGGATTAGAGGTGAAAATGGCTTGGTAGAGATCCAGGAACTTCAAGGCTAGAGTGTTAGATGATGCCTTATGGTGAATATTGAAACTATCCAGAATGAGGTGAGTGGGAGGGAGATAAGAGAGATGACAAAGTCTATTATGAGTTCTAGTCCATTATGAATTCTAGAGCTTCATTTCTTGAAGGTCTAAAAATAATAATGGTAAAGAATGCATAGTATAGCTCAGTGTGTCTCATTCATTTTCAGATCGTGGCATTCACAGAAAATATTTCAATGGGGCCTTGGAGGTAGATGGATAAGGTTGCTTGTAGACAGAATTCACTGGCTCAGAAGTTCCAGCTGTCCTAGAACCTTCCTAGCTATCCTAAGGGTTGAAGGGAGCAATATTGGTGTATCTAGAATCCATTTGTATTTCACTGTTTGAGAAGCTCAGGTGTAGCTTAATGAATTAAACTTTTTTAAAAAAAGAAAAAAAAGGAGATTATTTTGGAAAGGATAGGAGAACACTGATTCAGAACTGTAAGTGTGGTGGTGAAAGAATGCTGACCCAAATAGGCCCTGAAGTTTGGCTGTGAAGTGTAGCCAGGAGTGGGCACACAGGAGAAGTGAGATGATTCTGGGGGCCTGGTTTCTGTGAAAAGTTGCTTGCGTTGTTGAGGATAAATGAAAAAATGATAGGTAATGAACACTAAATTGGAGATCTTGCATGTGACATTGTCTTATAACATGATCTGGTGTGGTCATGCTGGTGAATGGCTATGTTTCATAGAAGAAAATAAGTGGAATTAGAAGGTCTTTGCTCATATTGGGTGTAGTAGAGAAGAGAATATGAACCAGTTGTTCAAATTACCCAAGGAGATGGAAGTAAGTTCTGGTGGGCAGTGGTCTCTACAGGCTTGAATAATAAGAGCTAAAAGAGGTATGGTGGTTTGGTCTGGGAATGTTTCCATGGAATTAATGTTTGTCATGAAGCACAGGTACCGGTATTTCCCTGGAGGGGAAGGATAAATCATCATTTCTTTTAAATTTTAATCTTCCAAAACACTTTATTCACAGGTATTGGCTATTCTGGTCAACATTTTTGGTGGAATCATGCGATGTGATGTTATTGCACAGGGTATAGTCATGGCAGTAAAAGATTTGGAGATTAAAATACCTGTTGTGGTACGGTTACAGGGTGAGTGGAAAAGATATCTTGCAATTCTTCCAAATTGCTTAAATGTTCATATTTCCATGAAGTTTAGTTCATTTAAAATGTAGTTTTCAAATAGCTGTGTCTTTTAAATGAAAGCATTATATAATATGAAATTTAAAAACCATGGTTTTTAAAAAATTTCTAACAGTGGAGCAAAAATGTTCATAGTTTTGCTTGGTATAATTTGCTGTGTTTTTTATTTGTGGTGATTTTTCTTGCCTGAATTACCACGGATATGGTAAGGTGCAATATATTATGAGATAACTCTGGGCTTTTGTGATATTTTCTTTGCTTTAGAAGCATTCATGTTAAATGATGGGTGTACTCCTATGTTGAAGTTTCATACCTGTAGTATGTTGTAGCAAATATTTTAAATGCTTTTGTTTATATACTTAAACTTATTTATATTTACATAAATCATTTCCAGGTACACGAGTTGATGATGCTAAGGCTCTCATAGCAGACAGTGGTCTTAAAATTCTTGCTTGTGATGACTTGGATGAAGCTGCTCGAATGGTAAATGAGCTATGTTAATATAAGGACAAATTTTCAGAGTGTATAAAGGATTTATAAATATTATACCTCGATTCTAGAATGAACTATGTAATTATGAATATTGCTAATAGTACTTCAGCTAAATATTATGGGTATAATGAACTGTTAAAGAAAAAAGTTATTAATGACATTTGTTAAAGAATGGTAAAGGCAGACTTTATTCAGGTGAACTATTGCTCTAGGTATAGAGACTACTGCAGTGGGGTTTTGTACAGTAGGGCAGAAAGGTTGGGCTCAACTCGAAATACAATGTGGAATAGTGGGAATTTATAACCAAGGAGCAGGGTGGAGTCAGTGGAGGAAAAATTACTAAGAGGATAACATTACTTAAGCAAGATTCTTTTTTTTTTTTTTTGATCGTTTTTTCTTAAATCCAGATTCAATAAGCAAGATTCTTGATAAAATTGGAGAATGCAGAGACAAACACAGAAGTCCAAAAATCAGGGCCAAGTTGAAAAGATGGTTCAGAGGAGCCTAATGAGAGTTTGGTCAAGGAGAGAATTTTTATCAGAACCTTTTATAACTATGATCCATCTTAGACAATGATCAACTGATGCCCAGTCTTGTTTCGTCTGTATTCTTACCTGCTTTATTCCACACCCGTGATAATTTTGAAGCAAATTCCAGACATTATGTCATTTCATACATTTCATCATGTATCTATAAAAGATAAAGGTATTGATAATGGTATAAAGGAATTACTGTTACTTGTTTTAGATGGGATAATGGTATTATTATGGTTATGTTTTATAAAAAAGAACCTAGTTAGTGTTGACATTTCCCAGATTGTCTCATGTCTTTTGTCTAAGTTCTTTATTAGAATTAGGATCAAAATAAGTCTCTGCATTGCTGTTGGTTAATATGTCACTAAGTTTTTAAATCTTAGTGACATAGGTTCTTCTTTGCT